TCGTACTGCCTCGGCCACGCCAGGCACCCGCACTGGCCTGGGCTGCTCTGGGCCCCCGCCTTTCCCGGGTGGAGGGTCTCTCCAAATGGCTTAGGCGGCCCGTCCTCTCCTCTTCTCTTCTCTTCTCCTCTCCTCTCCTCTCCTATCCTCTCCTCTCCTCTCCTCTCCTCCTCCTCCTCCTCCTCCTCCTCCTCCTCCTCCTCCTCCTCCTGCGACTCCTCGGGTCGCCTACGGCCCCAGGGGAAACCGTCCATCCCCGGGCCCCTCTCTGTGTGCGCTCGGCCTCCTCCCCCCGGGCCATGGGCTTCCCTGGGCTTGCTTCGGCGTGCGTGCCTCAGGAGGGGAAACAACACGCTGACACAATTCATCACCGATCCCAAGGAGCAGAAGGGAAAATATGGGCAGTGGGGGGAAGACAAACACCCAGAAGATGGGAGAAGATATGGGGAATCCTTGGATGTGTGTTTATGTATTTCTTTGTGTGCACCCCTGGGCTTCGGCGACCCGTCCTCCTCTCTCCTCCCCCTCCTCCTCCACCTCCTCCTCCTCCTCCTCCTCCACCTCCTCCTCCTGCGCCTCCTCCTCCTCATCCTCCTCCTCCTCCTTCGCGCCTCCTCCTCCTTCTCCTCCTTCTCCTCCTCCTCCTCCTTCTCCTCCTCCTCCTCCTCCTCCATCACCTCCTCCCCCTCCTCCTCCTCCGCGCCTCCTCCTCCTTCTTCTCCTCCTCCTCCTCCTCCCCCCTCCCCTCCCCCTCCTCCTCCTCCTCGTCGCCTCCCTCCTCCTCCTCCTCCTCCCTCCTCGACCTCCTCCTCCTCCGCGCCTCTTCCTCCTCCTCCTCCTCCTTCTCCTCCTCCTCCTCTTCTTCTCGTCTCGTCTCTTCTCTTCTCATTCCTCTCCTCCTCTCCTCTCCTCTCCTCTCCTCTCCTCTCCTCCTCTCCTCCTCCTCCCTCCTCCTCCGCGCCTCCTCTCTTCCTCCTCTCCTCCTCCTCCCGCTCCTCCTCCTCCTCCTCCTCCTCCTCCTCCTCCTCCTCCTTGCTCGCCTTCTTGACCAACATGGTCTTCTTAGACAAGCCCGACGGCGGCGTGCGCCCCATCGGTCTCCTCTGCCTCGTTCTGCGCCTGTGGTCTCGACTACGTCAGCCATACTGCCAGGCATGGGAGAAGAAGCATGCAGACGCCTTCTATTGGGGCACGGGGACCCACAACACGTGTGAGAGGGCGGGCTGGGTCCACAATCTCTTGGGAGGCTTCTGCAGAGAGGTCGGTTTCCAGAGTGGGTCTGCCTTGGTAGACTCGAGCCGCCTTTACGAGCACATCAGGCATATAGATCTTAGAGCTGCTGGGCTCCAGTATAGGTTCCCCGTCAAGGTCCTCAAAGGGTACTGTTCGATCTATTCTGAATATAAGGCTCTCATGTATGGAGGAGCCATTTCGTCGGCTTACTTGGCGAATGCAGCTGTGGTGGCAGGATGCTCGGGGGCGACAGCCCTGGCCAAGTTACTTCTGCTCCGACCTCTCCTGCCCACTCAGCAAGGTCGTCCGCAGTTATCCATCCGCAATGTGGTAGATGATGTGGCGCTTCAGGCGTGTGGGCGCCCAGTTCAGGTGGCGCAGGTGCTTGCAGGTGCAGTTGGCCAGCTTTTCTCGTGCTTTGAGGAGCTTCACCTGCCTGTGAGCATCAAGAAAACGAAGTACATGTGCACGCGTGAAGTCCAAGCGTATGTTGCTGGAGCTTGGTGTCTGCCAGCGTCTTCTCGGGTCGAACATGCACGCAGCCTGGGCACAGATGCGGCGATTGGTTCTCGACGACGAATCGGGGTGCAGAGGGCGAGGTGCATCGATGCTGGATCGCGTTCGAAGCGAACTCGACTTCTGAGGGAGGCTGGGGCCGATGTGGCTCTTGTGCAGAGAATGGGGGCCACGGCCTCAGCTCTTTGGGGTAGGAGCGTCTCGGGGATTTCGCCGACGGCCATGCACGGCCTGATGCTGTCGGCGGCTCATGCGTTAGGGCGCCACCCAAAAGGTGCCTCCTTGGAGATTCGGTTGCACTCTTTTTCGCCTGGGGGGAATCGTGGATCCCTTCGTGGCGTATGTCGGCCACGTGGCCTTCCAATGGGCGGCCGTCGTCTGGGACAGCGTTCCGAATGTTTCGATGTTGAATGCGACGGCTGATGCAGCTATAGCGCGACCGATTTCGAAGACGCACCCGTGGAGAGGAGCTTCGGTTTCTGCGGACGTGACCGCGCTCAGCCTGCGTCGGGTAGGATGGAGCTTTCGCGACGTTCGCGCGGCGGGGTCGGACCTCGGGCAGGTCTGGAATATGTTCCAGGTATCCCCCGTCGAGGTTCGGCTGCAGGTTAGAGCTGCGGCCATCAGGGCGTCTGATAGGCAGGCTTTCATGCAGGCAGGTGATGACCTCCCAGAGTACCCTCTGTTCTGGGATGCTTTGACGCCTCTTCTCCGATCCTCCCCCTCCCCCCGGAAGCCCCAGCATCAGAGGTCCCTGAAGAGCTGGATGAGCAATGTGCATTGGCCTCAGGCCAGGGTGCACAAGTATGGGTACCACAGTTGCTGCAAGTGTAGGATCTGTCAGGAGGAGGCGGGTAGCTTGTTTCATCGGCAATATCGATGCTCGGCCCACGCTGCACTCAGGAGGGACATGGTCTCGCCACAGCCAGCCAGCAGGGCTGATCTTTCCCTCGCCGATGGTTCTTTTTCCTGCCCAGGAGCCCGAGCAGACAGTGTTCTGGATCAGCAGGCCTGAGTCAGGCCGACTCAGCGGCTTAATTTTCTCGGGCGGGTCCGCTCGCTGGCCTGGGGTCCCTGGGCTTTCGAGGGCTAGTTGGGCTTTAGTCCAGGCCGATCCCCTGGGCAATGTCGTAGCAGCCTGCTATGGACCAGTGCCGTTCTCCCATGGGCCTAGACAGTCGGCGAAAGACGGAGTGGACTATGCAGCGCATATGCTTACACAGTGCGCAATGGCGCCAATTGGTTTATACTGTGGCTGCCAAGGGACCCTGGATTTCCTCTGAGGTGGCCAGGGGGCTGGGGCCTCTGCTGGTGGGCCAAGGGCCCATCTCTGGGCCCCGTTCTGGTCAAGTTTCTCTCCTGGGGACCTCACGGCGACCAAGACGGCAGCTCACTGCGCGATGACTGGCGTCCACAGTGGCAAGACGACCCAGTAGGAAATGAAGGCCAAAGATTCGGTCGACTCATATGCGAAGATGGGCGCAGCCAAGCACAATCTTCGAGAGGCAGACGTGGACTTGTACAGAGGTCTCAAGTGTCTGGTCAAGGAGTCGGCCAAGTGGGCCGCCAATTTAGACGTTCACCTTCAAAGTCAGTCTGGCAAGCGTCTAGACACTGTGGCGCTCGAGGCGGCAGTAAAGGCTGCCCCCGACACCCACGAGCATCCGCCCTTGCCTGAGCCAGTGATTGATGAGTCTGCGGGCGGGGACGGGGTGGAGCTGGGGTTGGGTGGGACGGAAGGGTTCGACTGGGCCGATGTGGCCACCTCTGCGTTCTATGTGCAAGGCCGTGCCCTGGTGCTTTGTGAGATCGAGAGTCCTGCCCGTGCTGGGGTGCCTATTGTCTTTTGTGTGAAGTGTGGTGCCTGCTGTGAGGACCACAAGCCTGGGGACCTGCTCAGAGCAGGATGTAACCATCGGCCTCGGCCAGCTCAAGCAAGGCACCAGCTGAAGAGAATTCGAGACGGTAAGCACCCTCACGGAAGGGCCTCGTCCAAGAACCTTGCCGTCTCCCAGTCTTGTGGGCTCTCGGAGGCGCGGAGAGGGATCTCATGCGCGTTCGCTGTCAGTCCTCGCCTCCTCCTGCCGCAGGAAAAGAAGGCCTTTCGATGCTCGGCTACGCCTCTCGTGAGGCTGTGCTGTTGGCCTTCGGCCTGCAGGAGTGCGACCTCGACGCGGTCAGGTCGATAGGCGAGGCGGTGCGCCGACCTCCCCAGGATCCCGAGGACGTGGAGGCCTCGGATTCGGAAGGAGAGGCTTTCTAGGTTTTTACCACTGACGTTAGGTCGCTCCACAACAACCTCCTCCTCCTCCTCCTCCTTCTCCTCCTGCTCTTCCTCCTCCTCCTCCTCCTCCGCCCTCCACCTTCTCCTCCTCCTCCTCCTTCTCCTCCTCCTCGTCCTCCTTCGCGCCTCCTCCTCCTCCTCCTCCTTTTCTTCCTCCTCCTCCTCCTCCTCCTCCTCCTCCTCCTCCTCCTCCTCCTCCTCCTCCTCCTCGGGTCGCCTACGGCCCCAGGGGGAACCGTCCATCCCCGGGCCCCTCTCTGTGTGCGCTTTGCCCCTTCCCCGGGGGCCACGGGTTTCCCTGGGCCTGCTTCGGCGTGCCTGCCTCAGGAGGGGAAACGACACGCTGACACAAGTCATCGCCGGCCCCCGGGAACAGAAAGGACAATATGGGAAGTGGGGGGGAACAAACACCCAGAATATGGGAGAAGATATGGGGAATCCTGGGATGTGTGTTTATGGATTTCTTTGTGTGCGCCCCTGGGCCCCATTGAGTGCCAGAGGCCCGCGCGCAGCCTACCCCGCGAGGGCGTGCGTGCGTGCGTGCGTGCGCCCGATCCCTGGAGGGTTTTTCCGATGGGCTTAGGCGACCCGTCCTCCTCTCTCCTCCCCCCCCCCTCCCCCTCCTCCTCCTCCTCCTCCTCCTCCTCCTCCTCCTCCTCCTCCTGCTCCTCCTCCTCCTCCTGCGCCTCCTCCTCCTCCTTCGCGCCTCCTCCTCCTCCTCCTCCTTTTCCTCTTCTCCTCCTCCTCGTCCCTTTCCTCCTCCTCCTCCTCCTCCATCTCCTTCTCCCCCTTCTCCTCCACCTCCTCCTCGTCCTCCTCCTCCTCCTCCTCCTCCTCCTCCTCCTCCTCCTTCTCCTCGGGTCGCCTACGGCCCCGGGGGGAACTGTGCACCCCTGGGCCCCTCTCTGTGTGCGCTCGGCTTCCTCCCCTGGGGAAACTGTGCACCGATCCCCCCTCCGCAGGAGGCCGCGTGGGAAGAAGGCCGCCGAGGGGGCGCCAAACGCTCCTCCAACCTCTCGGCCTTTCCCCCGCCCCCGTACACCGTCAGCTCTCCCCTCCCCCCCACCCACGCCCTCCTCCTTCCCTCGTCCCCCGTCCTTCCTCCTCCTCCTCCTCCTCCTCCTCCTCCTCCTCCTCCCCCTCCTCTTCTTCCACCTCCTCCACGTGCCCAGGTAGTTGCTTACAGTTCGATGCTAGATCTCTGGTCTCGGATCTGGTCTCCATCGTCGGTCGCTCTTGTCGGGTCGAGCTCCTGTCGGCCCAAAGCCATTCTACGGCCCATCAGCGGGCCCAGTTCGCCATAGGTGAGGAAGAATATCTGTATGATCTAGCGTGATGGTTACTTTTTCGGGCTGGGCTGCCGAGAACGATGGTCCTACTCTCAGGCGATCTGAGTTGGCGGGGTATATTGACCGACTCCCCTCTGCGACCCTGGATCGGCTGCTTGCCGTGCACAGGGAGGGTCGCCCAGGCAAGCCCTCGTCGCGTTTCTGACAGGCTCGGGCGCCCGCCTCCCCGAGCCCTGCCCTTTTTCCTCCCTCGGTGCGAGACGTGATCGATTGCGGAGAGCTGGCCACGAGCCTCTCAAGACAGGCGGCGTTCTCAGATGTCATATTCGTGATCGTCGGTTTTCTCTGCGCGGCCACGTGCGCTCTCTCTGCCCAGGACCCTGTTTCGGTTCTGGGCACCTCCCCTCCGATCCCCTCAGGCACCCTCTGTACCCCAATAGCGCTGCCACTCACAGGCATCCGGTGCTCCGAGGGGCGGTTTGTTGTGACAGGTGTGGCGCTCACGCCACAGTTAATGCACAGATCCTTTCTCTTTCCTGTAAGGCCATCGATCGACCTCTCACCAGAGGTGGGGAGGAAATTTGGTCCAGCCTGTCCACGGGCCTCCGCCCAAAAAGCGGAAGGAGCTTCCCCCAAATGTCATGTGTTGATTTCGCGCCCGAACTTGACCTGGTCTCCGCTGGCTTCTGAATCTGCATATCCTCCTCCTCGTCCTGCTTCTCCTCCTCGTGATCCCTCCGCTCCTCGACCACCTCTGCCTCTTCCTCGTCCTCAATGCCTGTACACACTGTTCATGTCTAATCATTCGAAAGTTCTTTGATTTTTGAGGGCCAGGATCCTTTCATTTCTAATTGTTCTGTCCTGGGCGTCTTCCTGGCCACTAGGGGGCCAGGAACAATGAGAAACGAGCACAATTAGAAATGAGCACGATTAGAAATGAACGGCGTGTATCATTCATTTCTGCCTGCGGGGCCCGCCATGACGGACCCCGCGGGGCAGGGTGTCGGTACCTTCGGGGCCGCGTGTTGCAAAAGTTCCATCATCGGATGCCAGGGGGGGGGGTCCGGAAAAGGCGGCCACCAGAGCGGCGGAGGACGCGTAGGGGGAGGGGGGGGGACGATGCATGGAGGGGGCAGCGAGGGCTGCCGAAAAAGGGGCCCTTTGGGGCACCTGAAGGGGGCCCTTTGCGGCCCAGAAGGGAGCCTTCAGGGCCCGAAAGAAGCACCTTTCTCCCCCCCCCCCCCCCTCGTTCGAGGCGTTCCAAAAATGGCCTTGCCTTCGAGGATCGAAGGAGTTGTCATTTCTTCCGCCGCGAAAGGCGGCGGAAGGGTGGCGGAAGGTCGGCGGAAGTAAAACGAGGCCGCCTCCGCCGGCGGAAGCGCGGAAGGGCGGCTGAAGGCGGCAGAAGTAAAAAATGCGTCCCCAAGAGATGAAAACGTTTTGGGGCTCAGAGTTTCCGAAATCACCCATTTATCGATTCTGCTTCGCGCCCAAGAGCCCTCGAACTCTCGGCCCCCACCTCAGGGACCGGCTCGTGCCTGCCGCGGTCGTGGAGGCTTTTGGCCGCCGCGCGTTTTTTTTGTTGTTGGTCCTTCGCTGTGCTGCCCAGGGCGCTGGGGCCGGGGCGTTGCCAGAGGTGCCCCTGGTCCGGGTGGCCCCCAGGATTTCCCATGAGATCCCTTTGAAAATCCATCGGATTCCTTCGGAGATCCGAAGGATTCCTCAGGAAGTCCATCGGGTTCCGGTTGAAATCCATAGGATTCCTTAGGAAATCGATAGACAGCCTTAAGAAAACTATGAGTCTTTCGGGAATCCATAAGGTCCTTTAGGAAATCCATAGGGTCCTTTCGGAAATCCATCGGATTCTTTAGGACCCCCCCGGATTCACGTGACATCCGTAGGAGTCCTTAGGACATCTACAGGAATCCTCAGGCAATCCATCGGATTCCTTTTCGAGGAGGCCCGGCGGCCTCCAGAGAGCACCCCGCACGAGGCCCAGAGGGCCACGGGGGGTCCTACATTTAAGTCGGGCCTTGCCCTCTACAGGGGGAACATTCAAAAACAGTGCAACAATAGTCTGGGGACAATTGTTCTGATATTAATGAATATGTTTGGCTTTTTTGTTTTGACTATTTTTTCTTTTTCGTCCAACATCCCCCTGTAGGGGGACAGGCCCGGCCTAATCCTACATAGAGCGAACAGCTGGGGGCACCCTGGCCCAGGGGCACCTTTGCCCATCGGCAGAACCCGCTCAGGACCGACCCCGGGGGCCCTGCGGAGGCGCCTTCCAGGCCACGTCGTCGGGGCCGCGCCAGGCGGGTGCTCGACGATGGGGCATTCCCCCCTCCCCTGCCCGTGAGCCGAGGCCTTACGGCAGCCTCGGGCTCCTCCTCCTCCTCCTCCTCCTCAACCTCGTCATCGTCCACCCCGTCATGAGCATCATCATCATCATCATCATCATCATCATCATCATCATCATCATCATCATCATCATCATCATCAACATCAACATCAGCATCAGCATCATCATCATCATCTTCATCTTCATCATCATCATTGTCACCGCGGTCGTCATCGTCATCATCATCATCAGCAGAAACATCATCATCATCATCATTACCATCACCATTACCACCATCAAGATCACCATAAACTTCATCAGCAGCATCATCATGATCATTAGCATCATCATTATTAGCATCAGCATCCCCATTCTCAGGTTCATCACCCTTCTGTTTCATGATGATCACCAGCATCACTGCTATCATCATCATCATCAGCATTCATCACCATCACCATCACCATCGTCACCATTATTACCACCACCATCATGATCTTCATCAGTATCACAAAGCACTGTCCTCATCATCATCACCATCATGATGATAATCATCTCCATCAGCATCATCGTCACCATCACCATCATCATTATCACCAGCATCAGCATCATCTTCTCGTCATCAGCACCGCTATCACCACAATAGCCATCATCATCACATTAGTTCTGCCATCACCATGGTGATCATGATACTCAGGATCATCTTCAACACTATCATCATAAGCATCGTCACCAGCATTGCCACCATCATCATCAGCATTGCCATCATCATTGCCATCATTATCATCATCCTCGTTATCATCATCCTCATCATCATCACTATCGTCATCAACATCATTATCATAGCCATCATGACCATCCGCATCCTCAGCAGCATCATCATCGCCATCATCACCATCGTTACCACCATCGTCATCACCACCGTCATTTCCATCGTCATGTCGTCTTGTTCATCGTCATCGTCATCGTCGCCGTTATCGCCATCATCATCATCATCATCATCATCATCATCATCATCATCATCATGATCATCTTCATCTTCATCTTCATCTTCATCTTCATCTTCATCTTCATCTTCATCTTCATCTTCATCTTCATCAGCAGCAGCATCCCTGGTGCCCCCGCAGGCTGGGAAGACTGAGGCGCCGCGAGGCCCCGCGCGCACCCGTGGGCGCGCCCCTGGCGGCGACCTTGCGATCAGGGCCGCGCCGGTCACCCTCCGCTGGGCATCCGCACAGGACCGCTCCGCTTCGTGACGAAATCTGAGCCCAAGGAGGCGGTGGGGATGGATGAGGAGGACGAGGAGGAGGAGGATGAAGAGGAGGAGGAGGAGGATGAGGACAAGGACGAGGAGGAGGAGGAGGAGAAGGAGGAAGACAAGGACAAGGGCGTGGAGCAGGAGGAGGTGGAGGAGGCGAGGGATGGACAGGGAGAGGGAGAGGGGAAGCAAGAGTGGAGGTGGAGGAGGAGGAGGAGGAAAAAGAGGTAGAAGGAGGAGAGAAAGGGGCCGAAGGAGTTTGGGGAGGATGCTTTTTGGGGAAGGGGGGGGCGATGAAGGATAGAGTGAAGAGGAGGAGGAGCAAGAGGAAGAGGAGGAGGAGAAGGAGGAAGAAGGAGGAGAAGGACCAGTGCAACCCCAAGACTCACCGACGATGTTGGACGAAACACTCCCCCCAATCTCCAGCCTCCTAGGCCCCTACAAAAATTATTCGCCACGGAGGGAAGTGCCCAGTTGGGAGACAACCGCTCGAAGACCCTGAAGCGTGCCAAAACAGCATTCTCGGGTGTAGCGCCACACATATCAATCTGACTGCTGCGCCTTGACGACCCTGGGTCGCTCCAGAACACCATCCTGGGATTTCAAAGCCGCGAATCAGCGTAACTGGTGCGCCCTGACAATCTTGAATCGCTCCAAAACGCCGCTGCTTGTACGCTAAGGGCATCCGTGAACTCCTTGCACATGTTTATGTCGAGTGTGCGCGGCGCTAAGACGAGAGCTGCATTTTGAAAAGGAGACCCCCTCAATCTGGGAACAAATCGTCAATGTTTAAGACGAGTGCGCGCGGCGCTAAGGCGAGAGCCACATTGTAAGAGCCACATGTAAACCTTTGCAAATTTCGAGACGAGTGCACGCGGCGCGAAGGCGAGAGCCATATGTCGGAAACAGCCCGCCCTCAGTCCGCGAAAGCCTCGCAGTTTCTAGAAACGAATTGCGCGCGACAAGGCAAGAACAACTTTTTGGAAGCGGCCCGCTCTGCATCTGAGAAGCTGTTGCCAACTTTGAAGCTTCAGGTTCCTAAATGGTGAGGACGTCTCTGGCGGAACGCCCGGCCCGCTTTTTCGACCAGACTCGGGGTGCGACAGGCAGAACGCATCAGAAAAGGAAAACGAGTGGAGGCAGGATGACGCGCAGGAGCCGTAGCCATTTTGGAGCGAGGCATGCCCTGTGCCCGTGAGCAGCCGTGGATTGAACGTGGCATGAGAGGGGATGCGAAGCGAAGCGAAGCCGCAGCCACTTGGGCTCCAGCAGCGTCCTGGTTTTCAGGGGGGGCCGGAGCCTACAGGGCGCGATGCGCCCCGCCGCGCGGTTGGGAGCGGAGGTCCGCGCCTTGCAGCTCGGTGGCCACGCGGGGCGCCTACAGGCTCGCGGCCGCGGCGTCGTGCTGCTGCCGAAGGCCTTCGCCCGCTGCGGCGTGCTCTCGGGCCCGGCCTGCCTGCTCGCCGTCGCGTGCTCGACGGGCGTCTCGCTGCGCTGGGTCGGTGGCCCTGCGGGCTGTGCAGCGGGCGCCGCTCCCTCTGGAGCAGCGCCGAGTCCCAGCCCTGCACATCAGGTGGTCGAGTCTCTGCGGCGGCGGCCGCGGGGTGCGGCCCCAACGGCGGCTCGAGCGCAGGGCGAAAAGGGGAGAGCCACTGGTTCCTACCGCCGTCGGCGAAGGTCTGTTCCAGACACATTCACGGGCACACAGAGGATACTTGAGCGACTGCTAGGTGTTTTGTGTCAGCTCTTGTCGAGGATCCAGACGCCCGACTGGCCGGTTGCAGGTGGATGATGATACTGGGTTTGCATTCGATCTGGCGGGCCCGCTGGCGGCTGGGTGGTCCACTGCGACCAGGTGGCGTTCCTATTCTTCCGCATCTTGCCCGTGCTTGTGCTCACCGCGGCACGGCTGCCGCGCCGTGCGCGCGACGCTCTCAAGACGGGGTGCGAATCTGACGGCGCCGTGGGCGGTGGATTCGTCGGCGGCGTCAGGCTTGGTCCGCCCAGCACAGAGCACGCCGCGGGGGCAGATGGTGCTGCTGGTCACGCTCACGGTGTTCCCCCTGGCCTGCCAGAAGAGCCTTCGCGCGCTGATGGGCGCCTCGGCCAATGGCCTCTGCAGCGTGTCCTCTACGCGGCCGCCAGCCGGGGCCCCGCCGGCCAGGTTTTCCGACCGCTCTGCCCCAGTTTGGGAAATGTTGTCGGCTTTGCGTGGCTGGGGGGAGCGCGTGGGGAAATCACATCATGTGCGTGTGTGTGTGTGTGTGTGTGTGTCTCCATTTGTTTCTCTTGTTCCTTGTTTGTTGTTTTTCTCTCGCTGTCTCTCTCTCTCTCTCTCTCTCTCTCTCTCTCTCTTTCACTATATATATGTATATATATATATATGTATCTCCCTCTCTTGCTTTATTTCTTTATTTCTTTCTTTGGTTCCCGACCTAGGCTCTGCCTTGAAGGGTTCTTACTCTATGTGCTTAAAGGGCCGGGCAGTGGAAATCGCCCCAGGCGGTTCCCCCAGGATCCGCCCCGCGGTTCCCCCAGCTACGTTCCCTTAGCTTAGCGTTGCTTATCTCATCGTAGCTTGGCTTAGTTTGGCTTAGCTTAGCTTAGCTTAGCTTAGCTTAGCTTGTCTCATGCTAGCCCAGCTCAGCCACGCCAACTTTACCTTGCCGTAGCTAAGCGAAGCCGAGCTCAGCTTAGCTTAACCCAACTTAGCTTAGCTTAGCTTAGCCTAGCCTAGCCTAGCCTAGCCTAATTTAGCTTAGCTTAGCATAGCTTAGCTTAGCTTATCTCATCTTGCCTAGCTTAGCTGAGCTCAGCTTAGCTTAGCTTAGCTTAGCTTAGCTTATCTCATATTAGCTTAGCTTGGCTCAGCTTAGCCTAGCCTCGCCTAGCCTAGCCTAGCCTAGCTTAGCCTAGCTTAGCTTAGTTTATCTCATCTTAGCTTAGCTTTGCGTTGCTTAGCTTTGCTTCGCTATCTTAGCTTAGCTTAGCTTAGCTTAGCTTATGTTGCTTTCCTAGTGGGTCCAACTCCTAGGTAGGGTCGCACTGGGATATGTTTTCTCTCTCTCTCTCTTTCTCTCTCTCGTTATTTCTGGTATTCTCTCTCTCTCTGTGTCTCGTTCTCTCTCTCTCTCTTTCTCCCTCTCTTCCCATCTATCCGTTTTCGCTTTGCCTGCCTGCCTCCCTTGTGCCTGCCTCCTGCCGGTCTGTCCGTATCGGGTGCGTCACCGTATCTGTGCGTGCGTGCATGCGCGTGTGTGTGCGTGCATGCGCGTGTGTGTGTGCGTGCGTGCGCGTGTGTGTGCGTGCGTGCGCGTGTGTGTGCGTGCGTGCGTGCGTGTGTGTGTGTGTGTGCGCGTGTGTGTGTGTGCGTGCGTGCGTGCGTGTGTGTATGTGTGTGTGTGTGTGTGTTCGTGCGTGCGTGTGTGTGTGTGTGTGTGTGCGTGTGTGT